CATTGTCGTATTTTTGGAAAAACAACATATTTGTTCCACCATTGCTTCTATTCAACGCTTGTGGCGTAGTTTCAAGTAGCCAACTACTTTTATACATAGCTCACCTTTTGCGCTATATAACTGTTAATTGTTTTAACAAATTTCTAAAATCTTAATTTTAACCAATATTTATAAATTTCTCCTAGTGTTTCTAATTTTTTATTTCATGGGATCATTTACATAACATTAGTTATATTATTGCAATCGACTGTATCACTCAGCTGTCAGACGTATCATTAGCCAAATATCCGGAGGCCATGGTTTTGCCGCGTTTTGTTTGTTAATATGTTTTCGAAGTAGTTATTAGGATTCATTATAATACTGATAAAAATATCACAACCTTTAAGACTGTTTTTAAATTATAATAAAGTGTTTATCCACTATTTATGTAAAAATACTTAATATTGAAAAATTTCCAGTAAGATCTCACTTCATACTCGTATATTATAAATAGACACTTATAAATTTATCAATTATTCTTGGTACAAGAGCTCCATTTGACCTCATTTCGTACGTCCTCATTTCGTTATGTGTGTTTATTTAGGGGCAAATTCAAGTGACCTTTTAAGAACCTTTTAATTAATGCTAGTATCTATTTATATAAAAACGTCGTCTCCTATTTTAGAAAGGATTTGCCATCATCATCACGTTTCGGAGCCAAATTAATGATCTTCAAAAATGAGTATTAGATGTATTTTGGTATACGAGTATATCTGGTATATATCGTTGTGTACTGTTTAGAGGTTAGGGGTCTATCACAACTTTTCTATGGACATCTCATTCTCTCTTTTCTCTCAGAAAAGATCTTATTCAACATATATTATACGTGATAGAATCACGCTGCAACTATATTATGGTTGTAGCACAAATGGGTCAGCTCGACCGGGGAAGGACCACAATCTCTCAGAATACCAGCGTAAAATAGCAGCTTAATAGTGCTGTGTTTTGTATGGTAAGTGTAGAGATCCGGAGACCGTTTTTTACTTGAAACGAGGCATTCCTACTTAGTCTTCAGGGGTGACAACGCATCTGCGTTTTGATTCTTGATCGAGGATAAATGTGGGTGTCTATGGGCCATAGCATACATTTTCCATCACGAGGACTGTGTGATCGTTTATCATCCTTATTCTTTGAAAAATATATGTAACTAAAAATTTTCCGTAGGTCTTTATCGTATAGTAAAAAGAATCACTTAAAATTTATAGCTGTTTTCAATTTGTTGCGTAAATTCAAGGTTACAACTTAAGCTCTTCATATAATACTGCCCCATAATACAAAGCGAGGTCATGAACGTCTGTTTAATGCAACAACAATGATATAAGTATCAGGCAATCAATTCATGGGCGTTTGTTAGTAATAATGTTAATGACCAGCGACTCACTGGTGTCTTCACCTGGGTGAGATCAAGGGTGGAAAAGTGGCGTTATTTAGAGTTAATTTAATCATCAAAGGTCAATTATTTCATCAATGTATCGATTAAAAACAAAACCTCTAAGTTATTCGAATAACACCGCCCGTATAACTTTTGGCATTGGCTGCAGTCTGCTCGTATAGTTTCATTACGTTCGTTTCGGTCAGACCAACTGACACACAGATAAAATGTTAAAACATTACTCATGTTATAATAACATTCAAAGTATAGTAAAAGGCTGTTATGTCGATATTACGGACAGGCACATCAATTTTATTTACGTGTTATAAATCGATTACTAACTAGCTGTTATTAATAATTGCCGTGTGGCTTAAGAGAATGTACTACCAATTTAATCATGTGGGTATCGTGAGGGTGACTATGAGATATTCCGCGAGATCTCAAGCCTTCCGACAGATGATGTAACCACGAAGATGCTTTCTGATAGATGATGGTGCCATTGCCATTACTGGGTATCAAAAGCCCACTGCTGAACATAAGTCTCTCCCATACATTGCCTCATATTTTCTATGGTTGCTACGCTTGGCAAGCTGGTTGGCAACGGCACTTTTTATTGTGATTTTGCTGTTAGCAAAAAGATGCTGCGGTCCAACTTCTGGTGTGTTTTCTGGTTGTCCCACTGTCGTCTTTGTCGCTATTACACGGGGCGATAGTACAACAATAACAATATATTTCATGGCGACCTATATGCTTCATTAATCGGTAAATATATAGGCTGACGAATTTTTATAAATTTTTTATAAAAATCCTTTGCTAAACATGGGTTTCTTCCATTGTACAGAGAATTTGTATTTTGTTGAGCTTAGCTGGTGGATTGATAACCGCAGTAGACGTAAGCGCTGCTGCCTACCGCCAGTCTGAGTACTTTACGTCTGATTAAAAAAGAGATTTTGAGATAAGAGATGATATATATATATATGCAACCGAAGATGCACCACCACTTATCTTCAAATGGGATTGTAGTCAAGGACTGGCTTAAATTAATTACAAAATACAAACAGATCGTTATACCGCCACCTTTCGGAAGCCATATGATCCGCCTGTCATTTCACATTGTCGCTTCCAGTAACACGCACTGGGTAATGGAGTGATGAATTTTCTTCCGCCGTCACCACACGCCCTTAATCTGTTAGTCATTTAATAGCCAACGACAATGTTTTTTTAAACATTAGCCAGTTCTCGTGGTGACTAGACTTTAGATAATAAATCGCACAGTATTAACGTGACAAAAACCTGTTCACTTTTGCCTTGAAGACTCAGATTGTAATAGGACGGGAAGACAGATGCCAAGAAACTGGCAACTTATTTCCCTCCTTTGCTGTACGAATTACGTAAGACTAAACAAACCATTCGGTTCGAATGTGTGGGACATTGACAACAATGGGGTGAAGGCTCGCCGACCGCCTGATTGAAAGGAGACGGAGAAATTAAGTAAGTTAATTCCTGCACACACTTTCCTTAATGCATCCTGTAGAACACCGAGGGGCTACCTACTCTACACTTGTGCACGATGTTGACAGAGTGGCTACAAACAAATTAAGTTCAATAATAATCCTCTTTGTAGGCTCTTCATAGACTCCAACGTTGGTATGACCAATAAGTTTTATAAATAGCTCAAGAAGCTGCTTTAGAAACTGAGATATTTTGTTTTTAATCAGAAGAATTCACCATTATAACCAAAAATATGCTAAACGATAACAATTGTAAATTACTTTAATATTGAACTGCATCCCCACGATATAAAGCATTCTGTTTTAAATTATTATAGTTATATTTTTGTCTATAACGTCTTTATTTATAAATTCAACTAATTAGTAAATCAACATGACCCATAAAACATAGAAATCTATATTCTACAACTCGATTATTTTGACACTTTCATTGGTACGAGGGTGGATTGAAAAGTACTCGGCCTAACTAAGATAATAAACACATACTAAATCAGTTATATTTTTATTTTTCTACATAATCACCATCAAGTTCAATACACATTTGCCACCTCCCCTTCCAAGCATTTAGACCGTTGAAAAAAAATGATTCTTCCTTAGAGTCAAAATATGCGTCTACAGCTGCTTTGACCTCGTCGTTTGTCGAAAATCTTTGACCTCCCAAGTGCTTTTTTAGGTTAGGGAACAGAAAGAAGTCTGATAGTGCCAGATCAGGTGAATACGGCGAATGCGGTAACAGTTCAAAGCCACAGTTGTGAATTTCAGCCATTGACTGTACTGACGTGTGAACACGGGCGTTATCTTGATGAAACAGGACTTTTCTTCTGAGCATTCCTCGACGTTTTTCTTTTATTTCCTCTCATAAACGACGTAGTAAGGTGCAGTAGTAATCAGAGTTTATAATCTGACCCCTTTCAAGATAATCAATCATAATCACACCTTTCGAGTCCCAGAATACTGAAGCCATCACCTTACTTGCCGACAAAATCGACTTAGCCTTTTTAGGGGTGGTGAACCAGGTCTTCTCCACTGTTTTGATTGTTGTTTTGTTTCCGGTGTACAGTAATGAACCCATGTTTCGTCCATAGTAACAAAACGATTCAAAAAATCATCTGCATCGGCTTCAAATAACTCCAAACAGTCGCGTGAAATAGTCAATCGCGTCCTTTTTTGTTCAACTGAAAGCAGTCGCGGATCCCACCTCGCAGACACCTTGTGGAAACCCAACTCGTTGACAATGATGTTTTGAGTTCGTTCATAAGAGATGCCTATAATCTCGGCTATCTCTCTAATTTTTAATCTGCGGTCTCCCATTATTAAATCAAGTACTTTTTTAATATTTTCGTCAGTAGTTGACGTCGAAGGCCTTCCAGAGCGGGGTTCATCTTTCACACTCTCTCTACCACGCTTAAATTCTGCTATCCATTTTTTGACGGATGAATATGACAGAGCACAATCGCCTAATATACTGACCATGTCATCATGGATGGCTTTTGATGATAGCCCCTTCTTATGGAGGTACTTAATGACGGCATGCTGCTCGATTTGCTCCATTCGCGGAAATTATGTCCGATTACTTTGTTAATAAATTTATAAAATCACAACTGATTATCGCACACGTTTCGAACTTCACACAATGAACTAGTCTGAACTGAACTAAATAATGTGGGTGGATTTGATTTTTAGAATTGAATGGATCTGTGTTAGGCCGAGTACTTTTCAATCCACCCTCGTACTTTCATTTTTGTAAGCTACTTGATAAGCTCTTTTGCGATTTTCTACTGCTTTTAACACTAACTGATATAATAACTAATAAATGATAATATGGAATGGAGAATAGACGAAACTTATACAATTAACTAGACGTAGAAGCTGAAACATAATTAGTTTGCAGAGGAGAAGATAAGCGGCGTGCTGCAAGTTGACGATAAATTGTTGAATTTATCGTTTATCCAATTACAAAAATCTTAATAATCCTAAATTTATAATGCTACAATAATAAAATTATATACACTTTACTTATAAGTATTAAATAGATTCAATAAAGAATTTTCTATCGGAGAAAGGTGAAGTCAACTTACCTAGTTCTGCTGGCTTCTTCGGGGCCTTTCCTTGCCAAGTAGCAGCACAAGCTATGCCCACCATAAACATGAAGCACAATATCTTCGCTACCATTTTACTAACTTTCCACGATTTTTTCTCGAAGTTAGTGACAAGAATTATCTGTTGAGATATATTCGAGACCCGCAACTCGACGCACACTGGCCTGTAACTTATTAAGCACTTGTTTTTATTCTAAATCGGCAACCTACAGACTAGCGACATAAGTTTAAATTTTCGCGCTTTTAGCTGTGGTTCGTTTTAATTAAAGCGGACAGATCATTATTTGTACCAAATAACATGAAAATACAGGAAATATTAAATATTCATTGGTAAATACAATGGACATAGAATATAAATAAAATATATGGTATTAGGCAACATAATTTGAATATTTAATCAATATCCTCATTTACAGTGGTTTTAAGTTTAGGAAGTCATTACAGGAGGCAGATATAAAATAATTCAACAATTTAAATTGTTTTCTTAAACAATCTTATTTAATTTTTTAACCAAATGTTAAAGCTAGTATAAATAAATTAAAGCCACAAAGCATTACAGTAGCGATGTAACAATATTCACTATTCTATATTATTGTTCCGTGGGTGTCATAAAAGTATACAATAAAGAGCAGTATTGTATTGTATTGTATTGTAAAAGACGACAGAGAGACCACATGAGTAGATAAACGGAACAGAGATAAAGCTTCATACAACCGCGCGAATCGGTTGCACTACTACAAGCGTGGCGGGGCATGTGTGCGTAAACACTGGCCGCTTATTGCGTACGCGCGGCTAGACTGGAAAAAACCGGTTACGCTGGCACAACCAGTGGACAATCTCAGGGTCAGTTCGACGCACGATGTTTGTTTTGTTAGTTTTAAGTTTGAATATTTCAATGAAAAATGTAAAATACGTGTGGCACTCGGTGACTGCCGCGGTAAAGCTATTGCATAGCATTTTTTATCAACTTATGCAATTATAATTATTTATTTATTTTATTTATGCAGCTAAGTCTTTGATATTAAATCAAGTTACACTTTTTGAGCGTGGTGACCGATAAGAAAACAATTTTTTTTCTCTTATTGAATAAATGAGAAGTTAATATTGTTTAAAATATTTTTAATATCTTACAATAAATGTAGGTTATTCAGGAATTTTTATCATTGAGTTAGCAGCTAGTGTACACGCATACGTCTAGTCGCACGCACACAAACACCGTGCCGAAGTCTGCCGAGTGCCGAAGTCTGCCGAACTGAAACGACGTTAGACGATGCACGGCTTTCAACGTCACACCTCCGTGTCCGTCGGAGTGGGGAGCGTGAGGGTTTTTTTCGTTACGGAATTTCTGGATTCGGTCCCCGCGCTCAAGGCCCGCGATAGAAGCTATGCAATAGCTTAAAAACGTAGTATTATCAATAATGGTTGTTTATTGTACTTTGTGTATGAATAATACTAGAAAAAATAAAATATATCATACTTAAAATATCTATCACAAGAAGTTTCATAGGTAATTAAATATTTGATTATTACTTTTTAAAGGAAGTATCTTTATTTTATTGTATGATCCTATTTTTAAATGAGATCAGGGTGCTACACGGTGTGTTTTTACATTTTTATTGTTACACCAAGCTTTTACTAAACATTTGTAGGTATGTGGGTGGGTTGATTTGGCTTAATTTGACTTCATCTATTATGATAACCCTACCAAAACCAAAATAGGTAACAATTTTTCACGCCCTTAAGAAGCTTTGTCTCCGTTCCGTTTATATACTCATGTGAGAGGGACACTGAAACAGCAGATAGACAACAGCGTCTTCCTATTACAATTAAAAAATTGCATTTGCAAACCCGCCTACCAAGCGTACAACCACGACAAAATCTCCCTATATGAAGCAATCTACAGGGCAGGCCAAAGTTCAGCTATGGACTTTTACGGGCAGTAATGGATATATAATCCTCCTTACATATGAAATTTGTATGGGAGGAATGTAAGGTCAATATTTTTTTGTAAATATGTTTAATTAATCAAAGTATGCACCGTTGTTATCTATGCACTTTTGCCATCTCATAGATAGTTCATCCTTTTAGTAAAGAAGCCATGGGGGCGAGGATCAATAAACTCTTTAAAGGCGGTTTGACTGCCGCATTGAAGTTGAAATTTTTTCCTTTTAAGAAGTTGTCCAAATTCCGAAAAAAATGGTAATCTGTTGGAGCAAGGTCCGGGAAGTACGGTTGTGATGTCGCAGACATTCCAATTGTAGCTCATCTAACTTAGTGGTTGTTTGTTGTGCAGTGTCTGGTCTTGCCTTGTCGTGAAGCATCAGTGAGCTAGAGCGATTGATCAATCTTGGTTGATTAGCAGCTAGTTCTTTCTTCATGGTTTGCAGTTGCTGACAATAGATATCTGCCATAATCGTTTGGCCAGACTTTAGAAAGCTGCAGTGAACGACACCGGCGCTTGTCCACCAAACACTCACTAGTAACTTTTTCTGAGACATATTTCGTTTAGGGCAGGATTTGGCTGGAACTCTGGAGAGGGTTCAGCCATTGTGACGAGCGCTTCCGATTATCGTACAGTATCCACTTTTCATCACAAATAATCATTCGATTTAAAGTCCATACTAATATTATAAATGCGAAAGTATGTTTGTTTGTTTGTTTGTTTGTCCTTCTTTCACGTCGCAACAGAGCATCGGCATGGCATGATTTTTGTATGGGGATAGTTCGGTGGCTGTAGAGTGACATAGGTTACTTTTTTCCACGGAAAAACATCTCATTCCCGTGGGAAAACAGAATATGTTGCAAAAGTTTGTCCTTCTTTCACGTCGCAACAGAGCGTCGGCATGGCATGAATTTGGTATGGGGATAGTAGATAGGAAAATCGAATATGTTGCAAAATTAAATTCAGCTAGGTGGCGCCTCCGTGATTCTACAAGACGGACGACGCTGGACGGTGCTGCAGATGTAGGAGCTACTGACGGGCCTGCAGCCGGTGGCTGGCCCTCCGACGTCTGCGGCCTTGCACCAACAAATCTTCTTTGGTCCGTCTCCTGCTGGCGTTGACTTCGGGTACGGACACGCTCCGTTTCCTCCTTAGGTAAAATCGGCATAATTTAATCCCACTTCTGACACCAATTATTACGGGCCGTACAAATTGTTACGAGCTTGAGGTTCGTGACAATAAGAATTGGCGATAGAATCACTTTACACTAATTAAAACTTAGAACACTAATAACTAACCACACTGATTCACTTTATTTCGCTCCGAAGCTTCGCTTGTCTCGCCAAATTCAATAATTCCCCCCTCGCATCTTGCAGCGCCTTTAAATACACATTATCACTATTCAAGTAAATACACGTGCCAATCGACTAGGCGCCGAAAGTTCGAGTTTCGGGCTTCTAGAAGCTTAATTCTTCGTTTCGATACTAGATGGCGCTGTCGGTTGAAAGATTAGTGATGTCATTTTCTAGCAAGCTCTCCTCGCTCCGTTACCCGACACAGATGGCGCCAGTGCCAGACGTCAACTTAGGCGCGCAACAATAAAAAATGTATGAATCTGTATTTTTCCACGCAGGACCGGGAAGAGAGATAAAAAACATGAAATTCCTACCAGCTGATTTTCTTCAAACGTTTTGGTGCATTGTAATTCACAGAATAGGCGATAACCTCGCAGACGATATTAAGTAATACGTTGATGCTCTGCCTACCCCGCAAGGGTTACAGGCGTGATTCCATACGTATGGATCAGAAATACTATCACCAACTGTCACGCTTTCACCCTTAACTTTTACTTATCTGTGGTAGAAACAGTTGTTAGTAAGCCTTATTAATAAGCCTTAGTAATATTTATTGAACGGAAATGAATACAGTTCTTATACGTGGTTATGAATAAATCGGTATTACAATAAGAAAATTTGTGCAAAATGATAAGAAAAATATTTTTAGAGAGTTCTTATTAACTAACGTATACATAGTTTAAATTGATTCCGCTAGATGTCGTTACTAGGTTTTTAAAACGCGGTAACGAAATGTTTCCTGACATGTACTTAACTCCCGCCGTTTAACCGCGCGTGAACTTATAGTGCATACGGTACCTATACACTTAAATAGTTTCTATTTCGTAGCTTATTTGACTACCTGCTTTCGATTTCGGTTGTTTGTTATTTGCTTTGTGATTTGGTTAAGGTTGAATGGATTTATATTGGCTATCATTTTCGGATTTGTGTATTTTCTTGGATCGGTTTTGTTGATTCGGTTGGTATTCCTTTATACATATTTAGACTCTGGCTTTGATTTTGGATTTTGTTTATTTAGAATCGTGAATTGGTTTTCGTTGTTTTAGGTTGTTTAACAATACTTCAAAGGAATATTAATAATATAGATAGTATATAAGGTACCTAAACACTTACTTCTTTTTTCGTTGGTTATATTTATATTAACTACTGCTTTCGATTTCGGTTTTCTGCGATTTGTTTTGTGATTTGGTTTAAGTTGATTCGATTTTTTATGGCTATCGTTTTCGGATTCGTGTTGTGTCTTGAATTGGTTTTGTTGTTTTATAAAAAATATTTAAAAGGAATACTTATTCCTTTTAGATATTTTGGATTTGCTTTTAAAAAAATATTTAAAAAAAATTAATTCCTTTTAGGTATTTTAACGTTTTTTTATAAATAGGTTTTTTGTTACTTCATAATGCCTCGCAAACGTAAGTCCAGCCTTTCAAGAGTATCTTTTCAAAGACAAGCGAAAAAATTAGCCCGATCGCTAGAATCTTTAGAAGATGCTGAACTGAGAAGGCAAGAACAAGCAGAGCGTCAGGCTGCTTTTAGAGCATCTGAGACACCTTCTCAACGTCAGTAAAGGCGTCTTGAACAGACAGAGCGTCAGGCTGCTTTAAGAGCTTCCGAAACACCTTCTCAAAGTCAGGAAAGGCGTCTTGAACAGGCAGAGCGTCAAGCTACTTTAAGAGCTACTGAAACACCTGATTAAAGTCAGCAAAGGCATCTTGAACAGGCAGAGCGTCAATCTACTGAAACACCTGCTCAAAGTTAGCAAAGGTTATTCGAACAAGC